CTTCTGAAAACTTCTAAAGACGCTGGCGGTAACACTCAAGCCCCACAGGAGGTTTCCTTTTCCTGTCCCCATCGAGTATTTGAGGGATTGCAGAGAGATGTGGCTGATCAAGTCTTGCAGGCGGTTAAATTTACTGACAAGAATGCTCCAGGACTGAGCTTGGCCTTGGATGAGGAATTTCAGGCAGCTGACTGCTTTTCAGAACTCGCCCGAGGATACACACAAGGGGTTGTTGACCCCTATATAATGATGGGCCTGCAACCCACTGGACCCACCCGAGTCAACCTGGAAATAATTGTACCATCCGCTAAAGGACTTACGCCTGAAATGTGGAAGCAGACAGCCACCCTGTGCCCGCTTGATTGGCCGTCCAATTATAGCCTCCTGAGATTGTGGCACACGCCCAAAAGTTTCCACCAATATGCGGCGCAACTCAAGCAACAAGTTCAACATCAACATATGTTCACTCATTGGGAAGTCAATCGCGCTAAGCTAGCCAGCAGAGTGTTGTTCCAACGACCAGCTTATTATGTACCGGAACAGACTTTGCAACAGCATGTGCGAGAGCACGTCTTCCCAGATCGGAAACTACGCAAAAGAGCACCGGATATTGACATCGCTGCGTTCGACGCTGCATGCAACGAAGTACGTCGCTTGGCTGCAATAAGTGAAGCAGAGAAAGCGGTCTCCTTTGCCATCGGAAATAGCTGGAATGATACTCTCCGAGCAGACAAACGCCACCATCTTGAATACACTCAACGGAGTCAGACATAACCCTCTTTCTTCCTTCCCCTCTACCTTCTTGGGTCGCACCCCTCGGTTCACCTCGTTGCCTTTTGGCCTTTTTGTTTCCCTGTTTTGGCCCCCCTAGTCCGCTCGGTTGGGCCCTTTTTGCTCCGGTTTGGACCTATTAGTGGCTCCTCTTTTCCGGCTTGTCCCCCCTTTTTGTTTGTGCTGTTCACTTGGGTCTTCTTGGCCACTGTGGTGCATCTGTCCATAGACGCGGCAGGTGCATTGGGGTCTCACTCTCCCTTGTGAATGATACGAGCCTAGTTTTTGTGCTTGTGTGTCTGTCCGTAGACGTGACAGGTGCACTTGTACTCCTTAATTCGTTTTGCTTTGCTTGTTTGCTTTTGCTGCTCGCCCCTCCTCCTTTCTGTCCTTTTGTCACCTCGCCTTACCCTGGTCCGGCGCAATTTGCCTCTCAACTGTCTTGTCGGTGCTGTCCTCCTCCCCTTTGTCTGTCTTGTGCTTCTTTGCGTGTGTTGCCCGGTGGGATTCGTGTCTCTTGCTGTTTTTGGCTCCGCGGGCTCGCCGTCCCTTTTTTGGTTCGTGTGCTCCTCGCTTTGCTGGTGCGGGCCTCGGTGATCCCGTGTTGCCTGCTCTCCCTTGTTGTGCTTCCTGTCTCTGTCCCTCTTGCCTCCCCTGCCCCGCGAGAGGTCTCTTTTGTGCTCTGGTCCAGCTTACACTCCTGTGTGCTGGTGCCTCCCTCGGAGTATCTGGTTGCAGCTGTGACGGCTCTGTTGCCTTGCTTTCATGCTGGGAGTGTGGTTTAGCTTAGTTTTCCTTCCGTCATTCGGTTCATGGCAACAAAGGCTACTTGCCCTGTGTGGGGTTTTTACCCTCTACACCATGTTACTGGTGACGTCGGGGAGCTTAGTTCGGCCATACTGAGGTATTCACCGTGATGATGATCCAGGCACATCTTAGGCTCCGCTAAGCTGCACTGTTGCTATTCTAATGTGATGTGTGCAGCCTTCTCCGCCCAGTCCTCCTCTGCCTTCCCGGCGCCCCCTCCTTTGGTTGCCACTTGGCCCTTCTGTCCCATTGTGTTTGCTGGTTCTTCCTTTTCTTCCTTTTCTCTGTTTGTGTCTTTTTTGTGCCTTGTGTGCTTCCTTTGCTCCCTCAGCTGTTTTGCTCTCCCCTGCTCTTATTCTTGGCCACTGGTGCATCTGTCCATAGACGCGGCAGGTGCATTTGGGTCTTACTCAGGCACAATAAATGGAGAATCGTTCGACTGTGCTTACTTGTTTTTGTGGTGTTTTTTGTTTGTTGTTTGTTTGGTTGGTTTTTACATTGAATGGAGGGACGTTGACACAGCACTCTTATGACCCACTAAGGTGACTCAGGACAGTCATATCGCCTCTGCCCGTACAGGCCGTCTTTTTTCGGTCTTTCGTGCTGGCTCAATTGTTTCTTTCTGAGGGGCTACTCTGCTTATCTGCCTTAATTCGTTTGTTCTACTTGGGTTCCCCTGGTACGTCCTCTGGCTGGGTACTCTCTTTCGGGTGCTGAATGCAACTGGAGGGTGCGATAGTTAGCCGGCCGATGCCATGGACCAGCCTGTGCTGCAGCGAGCTTCACCGGTGCTTTCCGGTGTTCCTCCCTGTAGGACAGCCTGGGGCGCCCGCGAGCAGCACAAGCCTGCCAACATGGTTCGTCACTGGACAGAAAGATGTGGTAACTCTGCAGCCTGTCTACTCTCGGGGTGAGTGGCAAGTCAGCCGGAGGTTTGCTACAATGCTACAATGCTTTCTGGTACGTGCTGCAACGCACTGCGGGTCCTTCAGGAACGATGACATCCTGCAATGTCCTGAACAGTTCTGCAGTCTGTATCCCTTGCGAACCTGCTTTTTGAACGCTACACTACGACAGCACTGGTACTGTGGCAAATGCAAAGACAGTTTTTGGACGCAAGCTTTTTCTGCATGTTGCTCAGCTTTGCGGATACTACCAAGTACGTCGCTGACTGAGACCATACAACGGATGGATGCATCTCCCCTATGAAACTAGGGGCGTGCTCCCCCGTTTCATTTGTTGTTGGTGATGGCATGCTTGGAAGCCGCTCCCTGGCCTTCTTTGCTTCCTCATTGTCATCACTGGTCCCCCCTCTAAGGGGGGTTCTGACTTCATTTAACAATTGGATTTGTGATCGCAGCTGACAGTCAAGAGGATGACTATTACGTCCATGAAGGCCCATGATGAGCTGACCTGAGAGGACTCTGAGAGAGATTTCGTAGTGGATCTGCGTTCATGTACAGCTTGTCTCATGCTAGGGTTAACCTCCTAGCTAGAGTCTTCATGTCTGCCTGGACAGCTGCGATACATAATTCATTTTCTTTGCATGTTTTTGATAGTGATGCAGTGGATATGCCACTGCGTCCAATAGCAGATCGATTCGGTGGGTGTTTTGTTTGGGCTCTGGCCCCGTTTTTGTTTTGGTTTTGGTGTTGTTTTGCTGTTTGCTTCGTTTCCGCTGGCGAAACGCAAGTCTGGCTGGGGGATTTGCGGGTCGTCGCTTTTTGTGTGGTTGTGGTTTTCGTTGTTTTGGTTCAATCGATCTGCTGATTTCAAGGACTTTGTGTCCTTGTACAGAGTTTTAGCTGCTTACTCTCATGTAAGGACCGAGCCATTAGCGCGACATCGGCCACACTCGAGGAAAAAAAATCTCGGCGCATGCAGATGACAACTTATGTGCCATGTTGACGCAGGCCCATAAAACAAAACAACAACAGGACCAACCACAAAATCACAATGGGCCACTTCAGAGGGCGCAGGAAGCAACAAAGCTCAATGCGGAAACCAATTAATCAATTAATCCCATATGCAACATGCTTTGAAACATGTTGAACGACCTGGCGGAAGCCATACGGCGTTGGACGGAAAAAAAAATCAAAATAGTGGATACCTGGTATGAGTAATATCCGCCGGTCTTTGGTGGCTTGATGGAAATACATCTTGCTGCCTCTGAGCCGGTGGACAAGAACCGAAGAGCCATTGTGGGAAGCACAAAGCCACAGTGGAGACCGATATCCGTCGCCTGCATAGCCATACAGGTTCCCGATCAATAGAACACGGAAAGAAACTACTCGCCGTGAGGCGATGGTCACGACTGTGGGAGGCTAATGCTGCAATGACCTCCTGCGTAAGCCGCAGCTTTGACTTCTGTGCAATAACCAGCCGATACCTTCTCAGGGATCGCACTCCAAGTTTTGCAGAGGGGTTCGGTCTTCCCGAGGATACCTCCTGGTTAGAGCTGTTTTGGGGTTGTGTTCATGATACATCACTATCGTGAATGGGTTCGGGTTCAAGACCCTTCGTTAGAGTTTGCAATTCCATCGTTCGTGACAATGTTCTGTACATGGAAGCGAACTTTTGACGCTATCCTGAAGTCAGGCGAGTCGGTCCCTTGGTCGACGCGTGTTTCCAAGGTCAAGTCGCTACGCTCGTTCGGAGTGCGCTTTGATTCTTCTGGTTTCAATGGGCGCGTCTGTTTGCATCCCCGTGTGTTGCAAGATTTGGGAACCCAATTTGCATTTTCCCCGCATCTCTTTGCTGTGCGGGTGCCCGCATTTAATTAGTTTTTGGCACCGGCCCGCTCGCTCACAAAATGCGTGTCGGCGAGTGTGCCGGTCTCACACGCTAGCATGCCTTGAGGCGAATGTCCATTTAGTGTGACATCTCGTGGGTATGTTACAGTGCGCCATGTAACGTGGCATCCGTTGCATATGTAACATGATGTCGCATGTCATCCCATCTGTATACAAGTTGATGTGAACATCATTCATGGTGCTAGCATTTGTGTATGCAGATTGATGGGGGCATTATTATTGCCCCGCATTGAACAACTGAAAAAACTCAAACCACCCTTAGATGCCAGCACGGTTTTCCCCCGGTAGTAAAAAACATTTTTCGCAATGATGGGTGGGGATATTTGCAAACGACCAAAAACTTTTTTCCCTGCATAAAACATTTTTTTCACACAATTTTTCATAACCATTATTCTTTGAACTGAATCCGATCATTTCGGAAAAGTAGAAGGTGCAAAATCCAGCATCGGTTCCAGTACAGCCACAATTGCCGTTTGTGTTGAATCAATTTTTTCCAATTTTTGGGGGTCGCATGAGGGCATTAGAATTATCGGTTTGATGGTAATTATTAGGTAGATTTTGGCTCAAACTACGTGAAATTGTGAAGTGGTAGCCGTTTCAGACATCACAATGCCTGCCAAGTTGAGCATTAACGATGTGGATGTGGCTGGCAAACGTGTTTTCATGAGGGTTGACTTCAATGTGCCACAGGAGTGCAAATCGTTTTTGTTGCAGGACAACTTGTGCAGCCGCTTCGTGCAGTCACATGCAACAGGACAAGGCGGATCCCACGAAGATCACTAACACTCAGCGCATTGACGGTGCCCTGCCCACCATCAAGAAGGCATCGTCGTGCTGTGGTTGTGACATTTTGGGTTTGCAAAGGCCAAGCAGACCGAGCAAACCTCCATTTTGGTTTCTCAGGTGTTGGAGAAAGGTGCCAAGTCTGTAGTGTTGGCATCTCATCTCGGCCGACCTGATGGTTCCGTTCCTTGGGAAATGTGGGTGTGACAAAATAAACAATTAATTTTGCCGTGTTTTTTGTTATAATTTTTAGTAGTTAAATTTGTTTTTTTTTCAAACGTGTCGATTTTGCAGCGGGCCATGTGTGGGAACTTTTCTTGCGCGCAACAAACCAAGGGCGTATTTTGTATGGCGACCTCACTTTATGAAGTCTTATAGGAGGATATGATATGGTTGTGTGATGTTGAAAATCTTTGCATGCCACACACGTTGAATTAAACCAATCATCCAATCATTTTCTTTTGGAATAGCGACGATCAAACCATGTCGTCCTTGACAAACACCAAAGCGATGATCAGGTTGTGGAAAAGTACTCCTTGGCGCCAGTTGCCAAGATCTTGGAAGAAAAACTCGGCAAACCAGCCACTTGCCTCACAATGGACTATTGGACATGAGGTCATTTGGGTATGAATCAAAATTAGAACCCCATGCTGCTCTATGAAACCACAGGTTGTAGTGTGTGTGTGTAGGATCAACCATCTAATTATTGGGGTACACAACTTTGACCTATACCCATTTCAACTAACCTTTGGTTCATGAGAACCAAAAAGCAAAGGTGGCTGCACATGTGAAACATATGCTCTCGCAACCATTTGGACATCGACAAACATACACACTGTTCCAAACAACTATTTCATGATCAAAACGCCTGGGCAAACGAACACACACACACACATGCACATACACACACACACACGTTTTTGCGCCTCCTCATAAACACTACTGGGTATGTATGTATGTATTGTATTGTATTGTATTGTATTATATTATATCATATCATATCATATTATATTATATGATATGATATTATATGATATGATATTATATTATATTATATTTTATTATATTTTATTATATTTTATTATATTATATTATATTATATTATATTACATTAAATTATTATATTATATTATATTATATTATATTACATTAAATTATTATATTATATTATATTATATTAGATTTATATTATATTGTATTATATTATATTATATTACATTATATTATATTATATTATATTACATTATATTACATTATATTACATACACCAAATTCCCCAACAGCGTAAACTAATGGGGTCTTCATCCCAGAATAGCTCCGTTGTGCATTGGTGCAGGCGCCGGGTCAGGTTACCATTTTGGTTCAAGTCCTTCACCAGAGAAGGCAAGCAAGGCAACAGAGCCTCTCATGTTTCTATCCATGTTCACAACTGTTCAAACAGATGTACAACAGATTGTTTTGAACATGGTCATCAAAAAGTCAACTCCACTTTCAATCACCTTCATTTTGAAGATTTTTCTTCATTTTGAAGATTTTTCTTAGCTGACATCCCGTCCAAGCCATGCGCAGAGCCGAAAGTGTGCCACCGGACCAGTTTGTGGAGGTCAACACGTTCTACTTGAATCCAGGCACCCAGTTGCCGCAGTTGGCTCCACAGGCGTACTTTACATACGCCAAGGACGAAAGCATCCATCAGGTTTTGGCGGACATCCACAATCACTTGGGAGCGGCCGCTGAACTTGAGGGCGTGGCACTTTGGATTCGGCCACCACCACCACCACCTTTGCCAGGAGGTGCCATGGAATTGGACTCGTCAGAGTCAGAAGATGATGCAGCCTCAGCTCAAGACGCGACAGCAGAGGCTGAGCCACCTACAGAAGATCCTGGTGAACCTGTTGTTCCACTTCATCCGGATGCTGGTCCACTTGATCCCCTTCAGGACCACTTGGTGTTGCCGCCTGACCTCCAGACCCAGCTGCAAATTCAGCTGAACTGTGTTCTGGATCCAATCATTGCCTACTACGAGGACCAGGGCAGGACACCAGAGTTGGCCCTGAACGAGGCCAGGAGCAGAGCATGGGCCCTTCTCCGTGATATGACGGAAATCAGCTTCCGTGATACAAAACGCAGCAGACAGGTTGCACCCAGTGGAAGTTCTTCGTCTACGGGACAAATTTGAGGGTTGCTTCATCATGGACCTCGGCAACATTTCAGATGTTAGCTACATTTTTTGGACTTCACGTTTTTGGCCAATGGCTACGTGACTCATCTCTGAGGCTTTGAGTGAAAAATTGCATTTTCACCACCGTCAGTGGGTTAATGCACCAGTGTACATTCAATTTCTTTTCAGGGTACATTTCCCAACATGCCACATTACTCATACACACTCACACAAACCGATGTGTCTGTGGCTGCAGTTTTTCCATGTCATACGGTCGGGCGCGTTGGGGCTCTCGATCCGGGGGAAATGCTGGAGCCTCAACACGACCCTAACCAGATTCTAGAAAGAGTCATCGACAACAGAGTCGTTGAACTAGACGCGTTTACAAATGTAGAGACACTAAACAGAAAAATCACTGACAAACCCCCATGACCTGAACAGGTGAGAAATGAGGATGTGCGGACCTCAACTAAAGACATCTGAGTCATTTTGGAACATTCCGCTCTTTTCTGATCAGTTGGCATCAGAGTCGACTGTGAGTGACATTGATTCACTTGTTTTTATCACATGTGTGTGAAGGTGAGCTTGGAGTCAACAGAGGCAGGGTCCAAGTAACCTCACTTACACGAAGACATCAGAGTCTCGTAAGTGTAATCATTCAGGATCATTTAGATCAACCTGGTTGCAGGTGGAGCTCAATCCAGTTGGGAGCGAAACGGCTGGAGAAGGGCCAGACTTCACCCGAGAACCCGTCTGGAACCCAAGAACAGTGATCATCATCTGAGATGGATCTTATGACAGTAGACATCAGAGTCTTGCCAGTGGGTGACCAGATGAATTTGAGGATTGATTTGTTTTTGACTGGGCAGGACCAGGAAGAGCCAACAGAGGCCCGATTGCAAACCTAGCCCAATTGGTCACGTGATGCCCGAGAGGATCTTCCTAATAGTAACCGGTGATCCATTTGCAGGTGACTTCATCCTTTGGGCTTGCAAGAGGGCCTGCGGGTGAGGAGCATCATGAGCTCAGAATTGCCGTAGGGGCCCAAAGGGTATCCGAACCTGAATCTTGATCACAGAAAACAGATTCACCTAGTGATTCGGAGGACCTTGCGAGTGGCCCCAGAAGATCTTTGGAAGAGGCATCCAGGGATTGAATTGAATGGCACTTTCGACATCAGAGTCGTTCAGAGATGGTGTGTGTGAATTGTCGAACACTGAAATTTGATTAACGGCCTTCCTTTGTATCGTGCATCTATGTCAGGTCCAGCCCACGGCGGCAGTGGAAACCACTGATCGAGCCCAAGCTACGGTCGAGCCGATCCGATGTACAGAAGGCCCATCCGAGGCCCAAACATCCGAGCATCCGTTTGCAGCATCCGACCTTTTGCCTGAGTTCATCGAAGGGGATTATGATTTCTTGGCAGAGCCTGGTGATCAAGAAGACTATCTAAGAAATATCCGTCACTTAGAAGACACCGCTGATACTCCAGATTTATATGAGCCTTCGGAATCATTCCCTGATCAATCGTATAATCCACCCATCGATAGCCCTAAGGACCCCATAGATCAGAATTCCTGGAAGAGGTATGCTACATCGGAGTGGGCAACTTCTGAAGTCAAAAGGGTCAAGCAAGCTGGATTGATGGATTTAAGATCGTCTTTTGCTCTTGACAGCCCATCTCAAACGCTGTCGATGATGTTCCAGTTGCCTGCCGAAAGCATTGCACTCCTGCAGACATCCCCGGAAGCAGAACACCAGAGCCAAGACTCCGTAGTGGCAAATCAGAGGTTAGTTCATGCTCGGAGGACCAGGGTAATGAGGTCAGACGATGACCTGAGAGACGCAAGCATCGCAAAGTTGAAGCACATCATCCTTCTGGATCCTGCTGCATCCCGGTTAGGGGAACTGTTAGTCCCAACTTCTTCGCGACCGATGGACGAAGTGGACATCCGTAGGTCGTTAGATCAAGCCTTCAGCCGCAAATCATCCAACACTCTCTATAAGAGAGCCTGTGCCCTCACGCGGTACGTAAGTTGGTTTGATAGGCTTAATCATAGAGGTTCACCCTTGAGATTGAAGGAATTTGACATCTATAGCTACCTCGGCCATTTAGAAAGTGAAAGGGCGGGACCAACAGCAGCATCAGGATTTATAGAATCGTTGAGATTCCTGGACTCAGTAGCGGTGCTTACCTTTGCCAACCTCGACTTGGTATTGTCACCTCGAGTGACAGGTTTTGCATATCAACAGTATCTCAGGAAGGCCCCTCTTAATCAGAAAGACCCAATCCCGTGTCTGCTGATTGCTGCGATGGAGAGGCTCTTGATGAAGAAAATTGACAATGTTCAGGTGTGCGTACTGGGCCAACTGTTGTGGTGTTTTCATGCAGCGAGCCGGTGGTCAGACAGTCTCCGGATCCAATCTCTAAAACTAGAGAAAGCAGAGGGTGCATCACTGGTCACAGGTGAAGCTCTAGGATCAAAGACATCGGTGACGAAAGAGGCTCAAACCCGTCTCTTGCCCTACGCAGCAATAGGCACTGGAGTGAGTGGAGAACCTTGGGCAGAGAAGTCGATCAATTCAAGGGCAGAAGAGCTTGGACGGGAGCCGGATCCCTTCCTACCTGCATTCAGTTGCAAAACGGGAAGATGGTCAACCACTCCAATGTCTAGTTCGGAAGCTACGGGTTACCTTCAGGATTTCATCAATGAATGCCTGCCTCTGCCCGATTTGAAGATTGATCTCAACAAGATAGGTACCCATTCTCTCAAGACGGGTTTGCTCACCATGGCCGCCAGATCGACATCCATCAAATTTTCAATGTCAGAACGCAGAACTCTTGGACATCACATCAAGCCATCCGACAGGTCTGTCCTCACATACTCAAGGGAAGCTTTCACCAGCCTATACGCCAAGGTGCTGGCGTGCTTTCAGCAGATCCAAGCAGGATCCTTTCGCCCTGACTCGACAGCTCTTGAACGGATTATGGATGCTGCAACAGAAATGGTCTCAGGGTTGCCAGCTCATCCGGAAGTTCCACAGCCCCCCTGTGAGGTGCCGGAAGAAGCAGATCCATGGGAGATTTCATCAGAATCCAGTGAGGAGGACCAAGCCTTAGTTGGAGTTTTGAGCAATCAGGAAGAGGTGCAAGGCAGAAAACCCTTTCCAAGTGAACAGGAGGTAGATTGCATAGGCATAGTCCACAGGAAGAGTGGCATTGTCCATGCCTTGCAGCCGTTGGGAGACTACACGTTGTGCGGTCGTCCAGTGACCAGGAACTACGTAGAGTTACAAAAAGCCGACACCGAAGACATGGAATGCTGCATCCTTTGCGGCCGCCAACTAGGTGTAGCAGCTAAATCGAGCTGAACATGCGACGATAGAAAAAAGGAGCGCGACTTCAGTTTCAGTCACATCAGAGTGAAAGATTTCAACTTTGAAGATTCACTTCCATGTCAACATAAATGTTTCAATCTTAACCAGGATCAGCAGAGATCAAGTTTGATGTCAAAAAGGAACATTGAAAGAGACGCACAAACTGCGATATATCAAAACGATTAGACGTGATCAGCAGAGATCAAGTCTAGTCTCAAAAGTGTTCACCAGAGTTCCTTTTGGCTTTCAGCAGTATAAATCTGATACCAGAATCGCTCCATCCAATATTCGCAATGTTGGCACTTGAGATTCAGTCCTTTATGGTCATGATCTATACCTGGATGGGTGATGATCCAACAAATCGGTTTGACTGCCAGGAAAAATTGGAGAGCTTGGCCGAATGCATCAGCAGGGTGATCCGACACCTGGGCTTGAGCAATTTGACCGAGCACCTGGGAGACCTGTGGGTGAATACCCGAAGGGCATTATGCTCCTTCAAAGGAGTCAAACTGGAAGCGTCTGCTGACATATCCATATCGGCAATTGGGGCCATTCCTCATCGGACAAGAGGCTTTAGGGCCTTAAGGGAGCTGGACCATTGCATTCTCCAAATTGAGCTGGAGGAAGCCTATGAGACCGTGCAAGAGTTGATTCTGGCTTGTGACCCAGGAACTCAGTTGGAGACATCCATGCAGTTGATTTATGACACCATGGAGGATATGATGATTATCATCAGCGCACCCATCGACCTTAGACCTGCCGACTAATAGAACTCGGACATAAGTCTTGATCAGCGGCGAGGAAAAAGTTGAGGCAGCTCGGCTGACCAGCGAGACTGAAGATGTTGGCATCAGAGCCGCACTGCAAAGTCAGACAAATTTAAGACAGATTGCAGTCACAATGAGCATGAAATCAGATTCAAGTTCATTGTGCATGGCCGCAGCCCAATTTTTGGGGAACGATTTTCCATCGCCAGGTTTGAAAGTACAACCAGGAATAGACTTTACATGTATCTTCAAACAAAATGTTCATCAGAGAGCATTACACACATGCATGCCACACTACAACTAACCAGGCAGGATGCCCTCCTGACATTCGACAGATACAGGATAAACTATTCTCCACTTACAACTCATATTAACAGCAAGATCCAATTACGTCTGACAGCCATGTCCGTTCTTGACAGCAAAGCTGCTTTTGCAGACAGGCTAAAGCAATTGGGAATCGAAGATGCCCTCAAGGGCGAGTTACAAGACAGAGGGTTTGAAACCTTCGGATCCCTGGCATTCGCAGTATCCACAACTCCGCAGCAGATCACAGATGCAGTGTTAGAAGCCTGGCTGCTCAAGGTCACCACCCGAGACCTAAGCCCATATCAGGTATCTTGTGTCAGACGCTTAGTGGTAGAGAGTCATGCATTAGCATTGAACGACCTGCAGCGCAAGGTGGATCAACCATCGGACCCTCAATTAGCAGCAAGAAAGCTTCCAGTCGCAGAGCGTCAAAGTCGCCAGACGGAGCAGGAGCAGCGACTGCAAGGATTGATTTTCAGTCCAGAAATCATCCCGAGCCATGCCTTGGTGGACACATGTGTCAACATGGTGGAGCAAGGAGTTCTTTCTTGGATCAAGCCAGAAGATTGCACTTCCAGGGCTCAGGAAATCCAATCACTCAAGAGAGACCCCAAAGTTTCTTTAGATGCAGCCGGAAACTTGAAAATTAGCTCAAAGACCATGCACAGCACATGCACCATTAGCTCAGAGTTGGATCTACGCAATGCCTTCCAACGCCGATCCCTTGCCATGGATCAAGCAAAGTTGTGTTCGTTTACAGAGATTGAACGCTGGGTCCAGCATTTGTTTCTGTCACATGAACGAGCTCAGCCATCGGGATTTGCATCCGTAACCTTGCAACAGATCATCGAGTGTGACAAGCAGATGTTCATCCGTGCATCCAATGCTTTAATAGGATCCTTGCAAGCCGAACCGGGGGTCGCAGTGACCCCATTGGATAAAGAGCTAGCAGCACTCCGCACATCCCCAGAGCTCATGCCATACCTCATGCCCATGCCAATGAAGTCTCTGCCCAAAGCAGGAGCTCCTAAGCCAGATAAGAGGCAGCAACCGGACTATGAAGACCGTCCAAACAAGTACCAAAAAGGCAAGGGCAAGGGCAAAAGCAAAGGCAAAGGAAAGTCCAAGGGGTCCAAGGGATCCTCGTCGGCGATCGACATTCCACAGGGCTGTGTTGCAAAAACCCCAGATGGAAAGCCTTTGTGCTTCGCATACAACAAGGGCATCTGTGGATTTCGAGGGTCTGGGCCTCGTTGCCAGAGAGGTTATCATCTCTGCTACAAACAGGGATGCCATAAACCCAAGCCATACCATGAGTGCAGTCACTCCAAAGAGTGACAATCACAGTCAAGCGAAGGCAAGGAAGATCAAACCTTTCATCCTGCGCCTTCCATAGTTTCACCTCAGCAACCGTTTGCTGTAGAATTCTGTTGTGGGAAAGCATCCTTGTCCAGAAGTCTGATTGACGCAGGCTTTTCCGTACTAGCTGTGGATCATATGCTTCATGACCCCAAGTGCCAGTCACCCTCTTGGATTTGACACAGGTCCAACATCAAAAGATCTTAATTGATCTTTTGAATAACCGACCACCAGACTATATCCATTTGGGTATGCCTTGCGGCACTGCATCCCGAGCCCGGGAAAGGCCCGTTGCCAGGGATAAAATTCTCCAGGGAGCACCACAGCCTCCGCCCCTGCGGTCAGCCGATCACCCACTAGGCCTTCCCCACATTAATCCAGATAGCACATCCGGTATAAGACTGAGCAAAGCAAACCAGTTGTACAGATTTATCATTGACATCCTTCTAATTGCTCAGAAATACAACTCAGTGATTAGCTTGGAAAACCCTTACCGTTCTTGGTTTTGGGCAGCCATTTTGGCATATGTACAGGCTCAAAACGATCCGCAATTAGTCAAGTTTTGGGATTCTCTTGCTGAGGTATTTTTTCATAATTGCTGCCACGGGGGTCAACGCAAGAAAGGCACCCGTTGGAAATCCACTCCAGGAGTTTTCGCCCATCTCGAAGCCACATGTGCTGGTGATCACGAACACCTGCCATACCAGGTTCAACATTCCAACGGCAGCTGGTCATTCGACACAGCAGCTGAAGCAGCTTACCCTGAGTTGCTGACACGCCGGGTGGCAATGGCTGTCAAAAACTTTCTTATGCACAAAAACTTGATTTTTAGCCCACCCCCTAATCCAAGAATCAAGACCCTGGCGGTCCAACATCGCCAGCATAAGAAAAGAAGCCAGCTCATCCCTGAATTTTCCACAACAGATTGGCATCCGAAGACATATAAAATCTCAGACAACCAAAAATTGATCCCTTCTTCCAGCAGGGGGGAATACCAAGAAGGGGATCAGACACAGACAACCACTGGAGAAATCCTTGTGGGGACATGGCTCACCCCGGAACAATTTGTAAACAAAGCCCTGCACTCTCCACACCCGATGGAAGAGAATGCTTTGCATAAAATTACAAATGACGCCATAGAATTTGTTGCCAAGAGCCCTTCAAGATTAGTATCCATCGAAAGGAAAAAGAACCTGTTAAAGGCAAAAAATCTGGCTAGGCAATTGGAAAGCCAGGAAAAAGAACTCCACGCTAGCCTCCCAACATCAATTACAAAGGTGGTTCAGGACAAGAAGCTCTTGTTGTGGGAGCAATTGCTTGAACTCAACAATTATGATGACATGGAAGTAGTCCGCTTCATGAAGGAAGGGGTCCCCCTTGTAGGAACCCATGATCACCCCTCTTGCTATGCTATGAAGCTTAAGCTAGCCTCTACCACGGAGGAGGAGCTCCGAGACTCGGCAGTACCATCTCGAGATGAGGAAGCCACAGACGGACTCCCCGGGATTTGCAGAGCACTTGGAATCCACGGCTCAAGAGGAGGTGGATTTAGCTTTCCTAGAAGGGCCTTTCCACTCCGCGGAGGAAGTCACCAACCTGTTGGGGCACTCAAAATGGAGGATCATGAGAAGGTTTGTAATTGAGCAGGGAGCAAAGCTGAGGCCGATAGACGATGGGTTAGAAGCTCAACTCAATTCTGCGTACACATCCACCATAAGACTAGACCTGCAGGATGCGGATTACGTTGTGGCCATGGCACTGAAATTGGGCAAACACAAGGAACTGAACTGGGTTGGAAAGACCCTGGATCTTTCAAAAGCTTACAAGCAGCTTCCCATCAGGCCCGATCATAGGGACCTAGCTGTTGTGTTTTTCAGAGACTCCCGAGGTAAGCCTAGGTACTATGTCCCCAATGCCCTTATGTTTGGCTCCACAGCCGCCGTGTACGCATTTAACAGGGTGAGCAGGTCCATTTGGTTCTTGGTGAACGTAGTTCTCAAGGTACCCTCTGCGGTGTACTTCGATGATTATCCCATGTTCTCGCCTGAGGGTTCTTCTCAAGACACCGATGCCCTGGTGTCGGATTTCTTGGACTTGTTGGGTTGGCGTCACGACAGGACGGGCCCCAAGGGAAAGCCCTTCTCGCCATCCTTCGATGTCTTGAGTATGACTTTAGACCTGAGTAACTTGGAATCGACGGGACACCTCACCTTGAAAAACAAAGAAGGCAGGGTTGAAAGATAGCGGCAAAAGTACTGCAGATCCAGCAATCGGGCCACATGTCTCTTCCAGAGGCACAAGAGATTCATGGGTTGCTAAACTTTGCCACAGGATACTTTGCGGGGAGGTCTTTGAGATACAGCTGTTTCAAAATTTTCTCCTTAGTGGGCAAAGGTCAGAACATGACGGAACCAACGCAGGACTGGTGCTGTGACGTCCTGGTGTTGCTGGAAAACACCAGACCACGTACCATCCCAGTGGCTATTAATTCAAAAACCATCCTGATCTTTACAGACGGGTCGTGGGAGGACGGATTTGGGGGCCTCGGAGCCGTGCTCCTCGACGAATCTTCGGGATCACGAGTCGTCGTTCAAGATCAGGTGCCAGAAGGGTTGTTGTCCTTGTGGAAGGGACTGGTAGGAGATCAACTGATCTGCCAAATAGAGCTGTTCGCGATGGTCCTTGTGAGATGGCAATGGAAACATGAACTCCATAACCGTAAAGTGTTTCTTTTCGTAGATAATAACTCTGCTAGAGGGGGCACTGTGAAGGGAAGATCGAGTAGTCCCACCATGGACGATTTGATCAAAGCCTTCTACTCGATAGAGGTTCATTTGCCATCTTTCTGGTGGATAGAGAGGGTCCCTAGCAAAAGCAATCCAGCTGACGAATCCTCACGCATGGAGGGCCGAGCAGCAGCCGATCGCTGGGGAGCCACCTTTGTGAATGGGTTTTCGTGCCTTGACACAGTATCAACTTGGCTATCCCAGGCAGCAGCAAATCGAAAAGATCCCAAGCAGAAGGGCCCGGTTTGATATAAGGGGGTAAGTTGGAAACCGATCCAACCAGTTCCATGCTTCATCACTCAATCCAATCAGATGGACTTGAACGACAGCCTGGAAGACATTGTACAGGCCAGTAACGAGATGCCGACCATCTCAACCGTGACATTCCCCCGATCCGACAAAAAGAGTGCTGCGCAGCTTGGTTGTTTTGATGTTGTGCCTTGAACAACAGCATGCTAATTGCAGAGGCAAATTCAGTAGGATTTTTGGGTCAAGGAACAGGGACAAGAAGGGCGTTTACACAACGTGGATAGTACTTTCTTGGAACTGTGACTTGAATTTATTTCATGTACACATACATGAAATTTCCCAAAAATCCTAAACTGATGTATAGCAAATTCAAATGACAAAAGATCTGAGCGTTTGAGTTTATCCATGTCAAAGAAACATAGATCGATAAATAAAAGCTGTCAAGTTATATGAGAAAAATCTTCTTGTATCAAACATGTGAAGTTGGAGTGACTTTATGAATGACGTTATATTTGGCTTAAAGTCCTTCACCAGAGAAGGCAAGCAAGGCAACAGAGCCTCTCATGTTTCTATCCATGTTCACAACTGTTCAAACAGATGTACAACAGATTGTTTTGAACATGGTCATCAAAAAGTCAACTCCACTTTCAATCACCTTCATTTTGAAGATTTTTCTTCCCGCCCTCCCTCTCCAACAGGGGGGGTAAGTTGGAAACCGATCCAACCAGTTCCATGCTTCATCACTCAATCCAATCAGATGGACTTGAACGACAGCCTGGAAGACATTGTACAGGCCAGTAACGAGATGCCGACCATCTCAACCGTGACATTCCCCCGATCCGACAAAAAGAGTGCTGCGCAGCTTGGTTGTTTTGATGTTGTGCCTTGAACAACAGCATGCTAATTGCAGAGGCAAATTCAGTAGGATTTTTGGGTCAAGGAACAGGGACAAGAAACACTGTTCCAAACAACTATTTCATGATCAAAACGCCTGGGCAAACGAACACACACACACATACACATACACACACTTGCTCAGAAAATTCTTATCGAATTACTGTTGTGGAGTGCATCGGTCGTGCACAAACAATCCCTTAAAGTCTGACAGGTGAGAGTTGGATGACATGCAGGAAAACCAGTAAAGAAGATTGCTTTCTTTGTCCTTGCAAAAACAACTGTTCCATCTGACGAAGTCGGCAGTAATTCAGATTGCGAAAACCGTACAATATAATGAGCCTGTTGACATTGAAGTTCTGAGGAAGGTCCTGATGCAACTGAAACACTGAACAACGACATGCCGGTTCTTGGCTTAGCCGGTTGCCATTGACGGGAAAATAAAATGGTGTTGCAGGTACGTCACCAGGCGTCCCTGGTGATATCCTAGGATCATATGAGGAGCTTCGTTGGATGGAGCCTCATACGTCCTCTCCATCCCCCTGCAAGTACGAAGTAAAATTGAACCAAGTCAAAGCTATAGGAAGTTTTACATCTTTTCAGATGTTCCACACACACGCCTCGCTGCCGCGAGGCTTTTTTCAAATTCATCCACAGTGAAAGCTCTTATCCGTTCCCTGAAGCGGAAATGGCTTCAAAATACAGGGAAGAATCATCGAATGAATTAATCCTAAAACTCACAGGCTGTCATCAGGTAATGCCTCCATGCGTCGTGCTTGGATAGACAAAGTCCTTGTGGATTCCGCCAAGTGGCTAGCAAGATGAGCCAAGTCTGCCGCCGAGAAGATCTGAACTGGGTGTCGGGAAAGATCTCCTTCAGGATCCTCCAGACGTTCGAGTATGGCCATGTTGGCCTCCCTGTCATTGTTGAGGATGTTCCAGAAGAACGTTGCCAGTTGATGAATCTGGACAGGAGGTGGATTGATGTCAGCATTGGCAATGAGAGAATCGGTGTCATCCATGACGGATTCATGTGCCGATTCAGGGCTTTCTGGACCGTCAGCTTGATGGGGACGCCAGTTTCCATATGGAGAGGTCTCGGGGATCTGAAAGTAGCGTCGCCAGTAGTTGGCGAGCTGGGAGGATTGATCCCATGAATCAATCCAGCCATTCTGTCCGGCACGAACATGGCCGATGATGCCGTTGAAAAAATATTCAGGCTGCCTATTGTGGTGGCGGCCACGTCGATCCACTTCCGTCACCATAAGTCGTCGAAGCGCCGGTTGATCGTCATCTTCTGGAGGTGATTGGACTTCCACAAAATAGTATGCATGGAGCTGACGTCGGACTTCTTCCATCTCTTGCTGGAGTGGATATGATTCTCCTGTAGGAGTAGGTAGAATTGGAGCTTGATGATCGGCAGGAGATGGTATGGGTGTGGCAAGATTTGCCGAAGAGTACCCAAAGTGAGGTGTGTACTCGCCTGATGCAGTAGGTGAGAGGGAACTTCCAGCTTGGGGAGCATTGTCGCCACGGGGCGGCTGCAATAGATCCGAAGGAGCAGCAGTGCTACTGGATTGGCCATGACTGCGGGATCTCCATGAAACACGACGTGGCTTGCTCATGGATGAAGAAGGACGCGTGAGACCGGCAAATGAGGAATCACGCTTGGTCATGGTACAGTTGGAGCCAAGAGCTAAAGACTTTAACAGGTAAAAAACAACAAGAAGCAAAAGCAAACCACACCAGCGAACGGGAGAGTCCCATGTCCCTACATGTAAGAGACTTTTAACCTTAAGGAAGCATGTTGCGGTTTGGAAGAGCCTCATGGCAGCTCAGGCGCATGATGTAAGGCTGAATGTGAGACGTAAAGGGATGAATGTGATGTGAAAAGAACTCATTATGTTCTTGTCCCTCAGTCCAGTGAGAGCGGTATGCGTTCAGATAGGTGACGAGGTATTCTTCGTTGCGGAGAGCAAACGTATCTCCAGTATCATCTTGCCATCTGATGTCCATGGCTGAAGGAGATAAGAATCGATCCCACGTATACCAAATGTGCTGGCTGATGCAATACAACAGGTTGTACACCGTGAAGGTTTCCAACCTGTGTGTGTTGAGCAGGATGTTGAATGTGAACAATGCACGTTCTTCGACCGGAGTGAGGCGAGGGAGAACCTCACATGTTGTAGCGGCCATCGAGTCATCATGGGTTTTATTCATGAGCGGACGGACTTGTTCAATGTCAACGATGACCAAGACCTTTCGGACTTGAGGAGCAGGAGGAGGTTCTTCAGGTCGAGGATTTCGTTGCCTGTCATGTTGATGAGTACCACGGTTTTGCCACATATTGTCGTCCCGAGAGCGGGAGCGTTCAGGAGCTGTTCGTTGACGATGATATGAATGAGCCATACTTGCTGTGGGTGAACAGACACCGAGTAAGAACATTCATCCCAGGCAAAAGAAAGACTGACCAAAAGGGAGACCTCAAAGAAAGGACACGAAGAAAAGCAAAAAGAAAGGGAAAACCCGAAGCAAGTCAACAACAGCCCCAAATGAGGCAGCAGTGACGCCTTTTTTGACATCGCAAGAATTGATGCTAAAGTCAGTCATCACCCTCCAATTCATGAGGTGGATTTCCCGGACCCGGTGGGTCAGTCACTTCTGATGTCTGTTTCAGAAGTCCCCAGCGAAGCTTGCAGAGCTGAGGATCGCGATGGAGTCTTGCTCCAATTGTTTTCCACGAAGGTCTGGACTTTGTGTCCTGTTTCATGCCAATCAATTCCTGGTCATCGGCGTGGGTCCACGGACGAGCCGGATCAGGAGGTGTATTAGCAGGAATAGCATGAGTGATGTGCATCTGTGGAGACGGCGGAGCTTTTGGATTGGGAGTCAAGGTCAGAGGCGGTGTTCTGGGTCTTGCTTTCCCACCATGAATGTAGCTGATATCCTCTCTTGACGCAGCTTCACCATCGGAGTCATCCGAATTCATGTCTGCTGAACGGGCGTCTGAAATAATGGGTAACGAGGTCGAATGGACAGCATCAAGATTGTGGGCGAGTCTAGGTTCAGGAATTGACTCCCCTTTCTGTTTCTTTTTTGGTTGTGGGTCCACCAGAGATGATGACCGTTGTTTTGATCGCACTGGCACAGGTGTGGTAGTGCGTGTGGGGGCCGTAGGGAAGGTAATCGTTGTTGTGGATCCAGGAGTCGGAGTTGGACCAGGGTCCGTCATAAGACTGGCAGGTCGAGATGTACCAGTGGTGAGAATAGATGTATTGATTGGTGGAGAGCTTGTTGATGCCGGTCGCAGGAACG